AAGTGCCATGCGTCTTGCCAGTAATTTCTTCGCGTCGTTACCCAATTTCAAATTAGACAAGCATCAACATGCATTTAAAATAGATATACCGAATGACTGGACTTGGTTTTTTCTTAGTAGAAATCAACTCTTCTTGTTTTTTCAAGATCCGGTACATATCGTTACCAAATGGCGTAATCGATTGCTATCGTCAACAGCGAATTTATATATTGGGAATGATAAAATTAGTATGGAACATATAGAACAACTAATCAATAATAATAGTTATACAAAATTAGATCATGGTTTGACGAAAAGCGATATTAATCCTAAAGATCGCCAAAATTATAATTCATGTATTAAGTTAATATCAGACGATGTAATAAATCTTCTTAATGACAGTACAGATACCAATGGAACAGTTGTTTATTTAACATTGTTAAAAATGATAGTAAAAGCATACATTGATAAATCAACAACGATTCATGAACGTAAGTCCATTTTTAACATTAGAAACGAAAAAGGTCGAACTTATTAATTGTTAACACTTTCTATGTATTTAGGTATTATATCAGCATGGTGTGTGGTATTTGTGTGTCGCCTTTGGTGGTCTTACTTAGAAAAAACATCAACTTTGAAGTCATCGAAAACTAGCCAAACAACAAGTGAAAGAAAAAATAAAATTAACAAATACTTTATTACTAGACCTGCATATATCTCTGTTGAGTTGAACGCACACAATTTACTGTATTTAGTACTATTAGTGAAACAGCAACATTTACCCAAACAAGCATTAATTAATATACATTTATTCAATTCACAGTCGTGCGAGTCATTGTTTAGAGATGCAAGATCATTAAGCAATACGTTCTCAACGGTCGTCAACTTTACCGTAAAAGATTTTATGCGACGTTCACAAAAACTATCAATATTAAATCAGTTTAGACATAATCAATTGGAAAATGATCTATCATTTCCCATACATCACAAACACAAACACAAATCTCCATTACCATCATCATATCAATTAGATGATATTGATACTTTAGATATTGAAAAATTAATATCGAATGCATATGATCAAGCATTACGTCTTGTTAAACATTCAAAAATACTAGATAAATTAAATGAGCATAAAATAAATTGTTTAAATGATTTAAGTAAATATATCTTCAATATGTTAAATAAAAATTCAAGAATGATTAATTATTCTTTCCGAACGGAAAATAAAGCCACTGAAGAGTTTGGATTGGATGAAGAAAATGAAGATAATGACATCATAAATTATGCACCGGATCAACTTATTGATGAAATTCTATTTGATCCTCAAAGCAACGTTGTTAGTGATGATGATGATGATGATGATGATGATGATGATGATGAAAATATATTAAATTCAATAAAATCAGATTTTAATGGGATAAGAATAGTTGATAATATTAATCCAGCTCTAAAAAAATCGTATTTTAAAGTCAAAATAAATAACAATATTAAATATCTTCACAAACAATCGGCCTGCTGGCTGAAATTGAACCAAACAGCGAAATTATCAAGTGATCGTTTATCGCGTGTCATGCAACAAACATCTGATCACAATTAGTAAAATTTTTGATCTCATGTCTTTTTGTTTTATTACTAGTGATTACTCTTGTTAAAAGTAAATAAACTAATCGTTTACATTGTTTTCAACGTTATTTAAGTTTGTTGTATGCATCTCCAGACCTTTAAGGATACTTTAAAGTACTTTGGCGTGATTTTAAGTACTTTGACGTAATTTTAAGGTACTTTGACGTAATTTTAAGGCACTTTGACGTAATTTTAAAGTACTTTGGGCTACTCTAAGCTACTTTGAGCTACTTTAAGCTACTTTAAGCTACTTCGAGTGACTTTGAAGTACTTTTTGTACTTTATTGTATTTTTCTACTTCAAGTCCGCCCTTTCCCCCTTGCTACCAGCACACGATACTTATTACGAAAATGTTAGAATTTTAGTAACAGATACGTACAGAACTAGTGCGCATTGAGAAACATAAAAAAAACACAAATAGAAAATTCTTTAGATATGTATCGGTTTCGATGATCCTGTAATCATTAACACGATAAGACATCTATGCAGATATGAGTAAATTACAAGAAGAATCGACAACGATTTTCAGTTAGATGAGACTAGCAGGTTTAAATTTGAGACTCCTTTTTTAAATAGATATTTATAGTTGAACAATATATTCGTTACAGACTATATTGTGTGAAGAAAAGTACTTTCTTCACAGTATTTCCACCAGTGGAAATTTTTCATTCACTCTTACTTTCAAAGTTTATCGACATTTCATATTTGTATGATCTTATTTAAGTTTTGCATTTCTAATCATTATTTTCAATTGTATTTATCTAATCGTTTTGACATATTCTATGAATTTTAAATAACTTGATGTCCAATCATTTCAGCTTTCTTTTTATGCTTTTAGAACGAATAACTGAAGTAGCATGTATAAACAAATATTTTATTTGTAGAATAGCTTCATCAAATTGGATGCAATCAATTGTATTGTTTCTCATCTATGATGTGTTTCATATCGAATCTTTTAACAACTGTCTTTATCGGATCAACAATCTCAATAATCAATCAGAATGCATAGATGCTTGAAGAAGAAAAGAAAAGCTTGCAATTGCAAATTATCGCAATGAAAAATATTTTTTTTGCATATTGGGTGTGGGTGTGGGTTTGGTTGAACAGCAATACCACACCCAACTCCGACACTCCACACCTATACTCACACACCCACACCCACACCCTCCCACACCCACACCCACACCCACACCCACACCCCCCCCCCCACCCACCACCCCCCCCCCCC